TAAGCTCCTTTTTTTTTTGACAGAATAAAACTGTAAATTTTATATTTTACTGTAAATAATTATGTCGTATTGAACTCTTTATAGAATTAAAGGTTTGACACTAAAAATATAATAAAATAATTCAAAAAATACTAAAATGTTCTGGACTCCAACAGAACTTTATTTCAACTTTTATTCTTATTCTTATTCTTATTATTATTATTATTATTATTGTTGTTTATTTAACTGTCAATTTGTGGCTTTATTATTTTTTAATGTATTTTTTTAAATACATTTGGACTTTTTTCCGGTTTCTATTTTTTATTTTATTTTTTTAACTGAAATGTCTAAATTTTCTCATCATGTTAATATTATAATTTTTAGAATTTGATACGACATTAACACATTTTGTTTGTGTAAAATCACAGCTGCAGTTGTCAGTTTTTTATTTTTTAAAAAACCCTCTACAGTTTGGCTTTAGATTGAATTCACACATTGGGCGGTTAAAGACTTAATTTCTTCTTTTTATTCACCAGTTTGTTCCATTTCTGTCCCAGTTTAAGGTGGAAACGTCTTTTATTTTGTGAAGCTAAACCATATTTCCCTGCTTCCTGTTTTTATTTTGGTGGGATGCGTTCTTGTTCCCTGAGCTTAGCGGTTCTGTTGGTTCCTTCCTGAGATCTTCAGCTTCTTGTTGCCTTCAGATCCTCCAGAGCTGCTGTTCTACTTCCTGGTTCTCTCTGAGCCGTCTGATTGGTCAGAACAGCCCCCCTTCGCCCCCCTTCCCCTCCTGGGGGGCGCCGACCCGAAACACCGAAGAAAAGCAGAAAGAGACAAAACCCAGAGGCCTCGCTGTCAAAGTCTTTTCTTTCTTCTGCAGAGTTTGTCTTTCTGCCGCATTTGAATAATCGTCTGATTTCCATCAGTCCAGAGACAGAAACACAAAAAGCTTCGATCTGAGGAGAAAAAACTTTTCTTTCATCTCCGAGTTCTTCAGTCGCGACGCTTTATTCTGCCGGAAAACAAAAAGCGGCTCAAAGGAAAGAAAACGACGAAGATCTGAGCCTCAGACACGATGAAAGGAGCCATGAGAAGTAAAAATGTTCAGTTTGAAATAATAAAAACTCTGTCATAGACCGAAAAGAAAACAAAACAGAAAAAGACGTCGCATCGAAATCTAAAAAATAAAAATAAGATTAAATAAAAACAACAAAGAAACAGTGGACACGAAAAACTGTGAAAATATCAGAAAATATTTGTAAAATAAAGTCATTTATAGCTGATTAAACACAATAAAACTGTGATTTAATGGTCTTTATTTAAAAAAATTTAAATAAAAGAACATTTGTAAAAATCCAGATCTTTGTTGACATTATTCGAAATTTTAACCATTTTTAAAAAATATTTACCAACTTCCATTTATTTATTCATAACATTCTGATTATTTTTACATTAAATATGAGTTTAGCTTTTAAATGTTGACTCTGTTGTCAAAATCTCAGATTTATTTTCCTGAAGCGCGACTTGTTTTTGTGACGTGATGAATCTTTGATGGAAACAAACACCGATGAGTTCATTCACAGATAAATTCAGCTGAAAACAGGAAGCAGAACGTCTGAATGGAACCTGACAGTAAATACATGAAGTCATCTGACGTCAGAGGTTCTTCCAGCCGAACAATCAGAGCCAAAGATCCAGTTATTGTTGAAGCAAGAAAACCATCATCAGTGTGTCTGAGTTCAGTCATGATCCTGAAAACTGTCTGAAAGTGACAAAGAATCACTGGAAGGAGACAAAAATGACACGAAAGATAAATTAAACTGCCAAAAAAAGATGACAAATGAAAAAGAGGTGAAAAAAAGACACAAAACGACCTCAAAGATGGAAAAAGACAAAATCTGTTTCCCCAAAAACAACATGAAGGAAGCAACAGACTTTTATTTTGACAGTTTTGTTTTGCAGAAATAAAAATGTTTCCACAATTAATTAATGTAGAAAATGAACAAAGTGGTAAAAAATAAAATTCTCCAGTATGCAGGAACTTATAGAAAACAATCCCAAAGAGACACAAAACGACCACAAAGAGACACAAAACAGCCTTAAAGTGATTCAAAATCACTGCCAAGAGACAAAATAATAACAAAAATAAATTACTATAAAGAGACAAAAAACGACCAGAGGGATGAAAACAAAATGAACTAAAGTGACACAAAGACAACATTAGAGGCAGAAATTTACGACCAAAACACAGAAAACAAAGAATCACTTCCTTAAATTTACACTTTTTAGTGACACGTTAACGTTTAAAACCCAGAAATCTGATCTGCGCTCCGGTTTCGTGTTTCGTGTTCCGACTGTTTTGGTCGCCTGCAGAACGCTGCGGTTCCAAAACAAAGCGGAACGCGGTGACATCAGAGCGTGTGATTGGCTGCCGCTTCTCCTCTTTCCTTATCTGACCTTCTGCAGCCTGATAGCATCGGTGGGTTTGTGAGGCCGGACAGACCGTCTCTGTCTGCTCGCTCAGGGAGTGTCTCGCCGTCAATACGCCGCTTGTTGGGAACTTTCTCAACACTCCATAAAGCCTGTTAATGTGTGAGTGCAGCTTTACAGCTCAGGTAGTCGCACACAGGGAGGGTTTGTTTGGGCGTATCGCGGCGGACTAACAGCGTTACGGCCCATCGCTTTTTACTGCCGCTCACAAAAACACCCTGTTCAGGCCCGTTTCATTCATTCATTCATTAGCCAACGCCGCTAAACATACAGTCGCGTCGCTCTGTGAGCTTCCAGACACTGAGCTGTTCATTAGCCAGACGAGGCCTCCGTAGCGTCGCGTCCCGTCTGAATATACGCGTTTAGACATGATTTACGTTAAAAGAGAATCTGAAGCAATAAAAGGTTTTTATTGGAGGAAAACATTCTGCTTTAAATAGCGCAGAGCTAATAAATAATCCAAATTAAAAACTAGCTTCACAGCTCATTTAACATTAACTGGTACATTAGCTGTGAGCTAACAGAGCTAACATAAGCTAACAGTCCAAAGTTAGTTCAAGCTACCTACATTATCTAAACAACCATAAAACTATGCTAAGCTACATGTGAGCCAACCTTAACTAATATAGCAATGAAATGTTAGATTCAAAAAGCTACAAGCAATCAAACAACTATGAGGGCACAAAGCTATGCTAAGCTACATATGAGCTAGGCAGCACGAGATACAACATTAGCCAGTATGGTACAAAAGTATGCTAAGCTAATTGTCTTCATTTTGAAATTAGCTTTATAAAGAATAAAATCTTTTTATTAGAGGCAAAAAAAAAAACTGCTTGAAATAGCTCATAGCTAATGTAGCAATAAAGGGATTAGCTAACTGCTGGTCCACCATCTGCTGCACAAGCTACCCTTATTTTAAAACATTAACTGTTAAATTCGCTGTGAGCTAACAGCTAACATAAGCTAACAATCCAAAGTTAAGCAAAACTACCTTTGATTTCAGTTTGGCTAACAGGCTAACATAAAGTTAGAGGCACAAAGTTGACCAAACATTATTTAATAAGGCACAAAGCTATGCTAAGCTACATGTTATTCAACCATAGTTACCAAAACGCAAAGCTAACAAAATATTAGAGGCACAAACATTATCTAAACAGACATAAAACTATGCTAAGCTACATGTAATTTCAACCTTAGCTTAGCATAAGGCATCAGGCCAACATACCAATGAAGGCGCTAGGCTGCAGGAGACCCAACATTAGCTGTAGTTTATTGTTGGTAGTTGTCTGTTCTTTGTCATGTTGCGTCTCTTAGCGCTGGTGTTGTTCCTTTATAGTAAACTTTATTGTGATATTATCAATGTTTGTCTGTTTTAGTCACTTTTATCTCTTTCTAGTCAGCGTTGTGTTTATGAAAACTCATTTTTATGAAACCTTACTTTTGAAGGTGCTATGAAACTTTAATGGACTCAGAGTGTTCATGATTCTGTGTTGACGTGAAGAAAGCCGGAGGATGAAACCTGCTTTATTCCTTCACTTCCTGCTCTCTGGTGTTTCCAGTAACGTCCACCGCCGCCTTGTTTCTCACTCGGGTGTGTGTTGACTCAAAGCTTTCAGCAGCTGCATGAAGACGAAGGTGTGTTTGTGCAGCTTCACACTTTGTGTTCAGGTAAATCCTTCGGTGTCGATTTCATGGACGCAGAATAAACGTTCTCCTTTGGTATTTACAACGTTTTGCATCGTTTCCCCGAAAACAACAGCATGAAGGAAGCAGAGGAGTTTTGTTTTACCTGAATTTTGGGTTTTCTTTTGCATAAATAAGAAAATTTCCACCATAAATTGATGCAGAAATGGAAAAAATTGGTTAAAAAATTCACCAGTATGAAGAAAATGACACAAAAATGACAAAACATCTGCAAAAAGATTGAAAATGGCACCAAATGCAACACAAAATGACACAAAATCACAGCAGAGAGTCAACAAAAGGAGATAAAAAGATGCAAAATCACTGCAAAAACATGCAAAAAACAACTACAAAAGAAAACAAAGAGACACAAACTCAGAGACCAGCTGCAAACACAAACATGAACCAAGCACAGGACTTTCATTTTGCCTGAATTTTGGATTTTCTTTTGCACAATTAAAGACGTTTTTATCATAAATTGATGCAGAAAATGGTGTAAAAAATCCCCCGAAATGATGCAAAAATACCCAAAAAACACAAAACAATGACAAACAAATACACGATAGAACCAAAGTCCTCCTAGTTTGTCTCAGTTTTGTGTTTTCTCACATAAATAAAAACATTTCCACCATAAATGGAACAAATTGAATGCATGAATGAAGACTCTGATGTTCTGTAATCTCTACCTGAGTCCATGATGAGGGTCCTCATAAAGCTGTAAACACAGCCGGAGTGTTTCTACCTGTCGGCTGCTTCGTGTTCACAACAACGTTTTATTGTTTTCACACTGATTTATTTCTGAGTGTTTCATGACTTCCTGTGTTGACGCCGGTTCTGTCCGTTTGCAGCGACCTGAGCATGAACAACCTGACGGTGATGTCCGGCGGAGCGCTGAGCAACCTGCACTTCCTGGAGGAGCTGTGAGTCGCACACGCCGTCATCATCGCCTCAGACACACCTGACAATCACTCACCTGCTTCCTGTCCTCACAGCATCAGTAAAACCTGCTGCTGCCCTGAACCGTGACTGACAGGAATGTAGACGGTGGGAAAAGAACCACAGACAAACTGAAATATGTGTTTTTGTTGTTAGATTGTGGATTTTTTTGGTCGTTTTCCATTTGTTTGGGTTGTTTTATTTCCATTTGTGATCATTTTTCATCATTCTGCTGTCAAATTGTGTCTTTGTCGTAAGTTTTTATCTTAAAAAAGAGACAAAACGGTGAAAAAAAGCCACAAAGTGACTCCAATAAGACACGCAGTTATTCAAATGAGACACAAACGACCAGACAGAGGGATGAAACAACCACAAAACCACACAACATAACAATGACGAGACACAAAAATGGCTGACAAGAGACAAACAACTGCAACAAGTCACAAAACAGCTGCAAAAATATGTAAAACAGCCACAAAGAGACGTAAAATGGCTTCAAAAAGACTCGTACTGACCACTAAAACAGACCAAATAAAAGCAGAGGGTTATGATATGAGCACAACAACACAAACAGCCACAGTGAGACACAAAGCTACTGCAGGGTTCAGACTAAACACCGTCCACGTGTCAACATCAGCTGCTGGAGCCGATTCAACATCATGGACTGAGCTGAACTTTCATTCTCCTCCTTCATCATCATCGTCTCAGTCCTGAGGCGGTGATGAGCTGAGGGTGTCCCAGCGGCCGACCAGCTCGGATGTCTGCGAGGACTCGATATGTAACTCCATCTGCGCTCACCTGCCGGCGGCGGCGACGCGTCACGTATGAACGTTTGCATGACGCTGAGCCGGACTAAACGGCTCAGGTCCAGCAGAGGGAGGCTGACCTCGCCTAGACCTGAACATGACTCTGGCTGCTGTTCTGCTCTGCTGCCAGCTGTGTGTGTCTGTGTGTGTGTGTGATATTTGTCGCCGCGGCGTGAGAAACGTCACCACGGCGATAGGACACCGCAGAGGTGCATGCTGGGTACGAGCGGACTGGCTGAACTCTGCGTGGCCTCTGGAGAACATACAGGATCAGTCAGAGCTACAGCCAGCGCTGGAGTTCAGGACTCATCAGAAGATGGAGCGAGTCGCACCTTCAAGAATCATAAGAATCAGGTCCTGGATTTCATAGCTGCAGACCCAAAAGTGAAAGTAAATACATGAAGGGAAACTAGAGACAAACAAAC